CTTGCAAGAATATTACAACTCATGCTTTCAGTGCTGTTGTGTGTATATAAAACTTTCCACAGAGACAAAAAGCAAATACAGCTTAATGTGAGGAAACAGTGAGGGCTGATAAAAGTGATGTGAACATTAAATTATTCCCCACAAGCCTTCTGCTTTCTTCGCAGCTTAAAAGCAAGGCAGATAACTGAAATTTGATGATATTATTCAGTACCCAGGATTTTAATGAAATGATCTCTCCATACCAATCTGCTGTATTTCCATGTCTTATTTTAATGACCATGTATACTAATGTATGCATTGTTTTCGGCTCTGTAAACATACAGATTCTCTAATTGTATGCCAAATAGAAACTGTGCAGCAGACATTGACACTTGCAGTGAGATGAAAGGTGAGCTTGTGTGTTTGTCAGATATTATTCCGGCTGGCATGTGAGGAAATGAGGAAAGAACAGAGAGGAGATGGAAGCAGAGAGAGGAAATGATGCTCTTATCTGAAATCCTTAATAGATCACCCCAAACATGATTTATACAACAAGCAAAAGTAAAGGTTTATTGAAAGCTTCACCCTCATTCACGGTGCAGCGTAGCAGGTAGCAAATGCAGAGAGCTGGAGCAACAAAAGAAATTATGTTTTAGATTGTTTCTACAACTCCTCTATATTATCGGTCCCTGGTATCACATCCAGTCTTTTTTCTCCCTCCTGCCGTCTGTCTATTTACTCTGTGTGTCACTGTCTGCAGTGTTTCTGTGACTTTAGTGTGCTGAGATAAAGACTAAAGGATCAATATGAGGCACTTGGACCTCACCAGACCCAAATATTAACTGTGTTGAAAAGGACATTGATTCAGAGACATCAACAGTGACCCAGAAAACATTACAATTACCAGCTTGATAACTCAGTGTAGCTAAAACAGCAACAAAAATGCTATTTTCATGGCCAACTCACACAAACACACAACGTCTGAAAGCTGAGGCAATAATAACAACAGCAGCCTGACCATTCTCTCTCTCTGCACCTCTAACTCTTAAAAAAAACATCCAATTTGTTTACCAGGGAACAAAAATCATTAAAAATTCTTTGCAGCCCAGCAAGTGATAATGATTTCTTGCTGATTGTTGTATCTTAAACTTGTAAGATTTCAGTGTAAAAACAATTTAACACAAAGTAAAGCTGCAGCACAGAAAAACATCCATCCCTCCATAATCCTGACTCTATGGACATGCCCTTACTGTATCCTCATCATGATCTGGATTGTTTTTGTGGGAAATCTCTTTCAAAATTAAGAGTCACGTGCAAAACTGTTATTACATGATCAACCAATGTCTTAAAGCTCAGGTGTGTAGGATTTAGCGGCAACAAGCAGTAAAGTTGCAGAACTGAAACCTATAGCATTTGCAAAGTAGGAGAGCTTTGGTGGCCAACACGAAAATGCCAAAACATGAACGGCCCTATCTAGAGCCAATGTTTGGTTTGTCTGTTCTGGGCTACTCTAGAACAACATGCCGGGCCCTGTGAAAGAGGACCTGCTCCTTATAGTATGTAGATATACATGGCTCATTCTAAAGAAAACACAATGATTCTTATTTTCAGGTGATTATATACCCTTTTAGGACCGATGTCACAATGATGTCAGTTTGGGGTCCATGTCATTGGTCCGACAGCCCATTGGTCCGACATCCCATTAGTTCGATGGTCCGCGGTGCTGAATGGCTCCCAGCGGGCGTATTTCTGCCTTGATGGTGCGCCGCGACCGGCTCTGGGTCAGCTGGGAAAGGCTTGAGGTGGAGCAGGCTCACGGCTTATGTGTTTGTCACTTTCTTTTTCATTTTAACCCACACCATGATCTTTTCCTAACCCTAACCAAGTGGTTTTTGTGCCTAAACCTAACCAGACCTTAACCACAGGGCATCATGATGATTTCGGAACAACGGGACTTCGGAACAATGGGTTTAATATGGTCGGAACAATGGGATGTCGGACCAATGGGCTGTTCCCGTCAGTTTGTTAGCTTGAGGCAAAACACAACTCATCACCACAGGGCTGTAGGCTACATAGGAGTCTTAAAATGTCATCTTGATGTGTTATTGGGTGCTAGAATAGAAGGAGTCATGGCTCAAAAATTTATGACGTATCAGCAGCCACTGCCTGTCAACAAAGATAAAGACAACTAGGGTTAAATGCAATAAGATGAAAGGACTGGATGGAGGCGATCATCAAAAATGCTCACATGTGCATTAGGGAAAATGTATTGTTGTAGGAATGAATAATGTTCTGTGTATTAAGGGATATCATGTCCACCTAATCAGAAATTGGAAAGGTATTAAGAGGAATATTGGATTTCTCTGTAATGCTAACTGTTTAGCGCATTAGCTAATGTTAGCTTCGATAGCAAAACAAACTGGATGAAACCGTTCAAGTGTCGTCCTCCATTGTAAGATTGGCATTGTAATCAACCAAAGCCGGCCATCCCACCTTCAGCAATCCTGTCAAATCATCCATCCACTGAGTGAGAGCATACGGGTCGGCCAGTCTGGTCCCGAACAGTCCAGTTTGAGCCAGAGTGTGCTCCGGCTCTTGGAATGAGTATTTCTAAAAATTTTGGTGGTGATCGGTTGAAGCGAAGTGGATGAAATAATAAAATGGCAGGAAATCCGAGCTGCTTGGCGGAGGTCTGTGCTCTCCGAGTGCTCTAGTTGTAAATATTATATTCTATTTCTGCCATTAGATGTCCCAAAACCCTACACACTGGACCTTTAATAGATTATTGTATCACATTTATGTCACTTACATGGCACATTAATCATGTGCAGGCAGCATCAACAGGTGCTGACAAGAAAACAAGTTGCACTGAAATATGTGTGCAGCTTTCATTTTTTTGAGGTTTAATAGGCCAATTCAATTAATGTTCCTGATGCAACAGTGTGACTGAGCATTTTATAGGGAAGCTTTGAAGATTTACTTAATGTAGAAAAAAATGAGAGAGCCAGACACTATGAAATTGCTGAAGCTTAAACGCATCTAAAATTAGAGTAAATAAAAACTTCCAAAGACAATGTAGAGTTTAATAATGCATCAAGTCAAGCTCTTTACTGTCATTTGAAGAAAAAGTACTTCATTAATCCCTCTTTTGGGACTTTTTTTTTCATTCTTGTGCACGCACAGGACCTGTAAACATACATTACTGCTGTCAGAGTGATGGGGCTGTCATAGTCAGGTGCTCTGAGCAGTTGGGGGTTCAGTGCCTTGCTCAAGGGCATCTCTGCAACGTGATTGCATGTACAGAAGACAAATTGTCAAGTCAAACCCGAGCTTGCTCTGTGACATATTCCCCAGCTCTCCTCCATATCAGTTTTCCCTCCTCCGTCCCCTTCATGCGACCGTAATGACTTACTTATTCCTTTGCATTTATTCCACACTATCCCACTCATCCCTTTTTCCCTTGGTAAGTTTTGAAATGTTGGTGAGGGCCTGTCAAGGGCACGATGCAGGGAAGATAAAACATTTTCATGAGGCCACTGGGCAGCAGCAGCTTGTAGCTAGCAGATAAGTACGCACTGTGAATTTTAACATTATTCAAAAAAGTGACATCTGTGTTCCTGGTGCCAAAGGCTGCACTGTGGGCAAGTTTGAAAAATTATAGATGTGCAAGGTGTTGGGTGGCAAAGTGTTATGCACAGTTTGAAAAAAAACAGCCTTCATGCGCTGTTACCAATCACTTTAGGTGGGGACAGGCTGCCAAGCTGTTATTTGTGGCCGCATAAAGTCCATCTCGACAAGCGTGATGACTAATCTCACCATAATGACAGCACAACCCTGAGACCTGGAGCTCTTCACCCAGACACATCTGTGCTCAATTACTGCAAATAATTCAACCAGTAACAGCATCTTAGTAGGTGGGTGGTGGACTCATGGCAGAATGAACGGGAAAGAGGATGAGGAGAAGGAGGAGGAGGCCAGAGAGGAGCAGAGGTTGCAGAGTGAAGTGAAAGAGATGTAGTTTGCTGCAAAGTGAATTCAACTGTGTGTGAGCAAAGCTGAATCTTAAATCCTTGAACATTTTATCAGTTTTTTGCCAGCCAAAGACTACTTTTATTTAAAAAGTGGCACTTGTGACCTTTTGGACATTTTACTTTGGAATAAATGCGTCTGTGGGCTGGGAAGGGAGGACAGCAGAAATGGACTGCACATGTTGAAGGTGACAAAGTCATTTCAGCAAAAAAAAAAACTTTTATGTGAGCTGACCTGGAGCAAAGCACTCAATATGCATTCACTACATGCCACTGGTGAGGCAGGCCAGAACTATATTAGAAACCACTGAACCTCACCAGAAATCAAATCACACTTTGGTCATAAAAATGCTAATATTTACATGCAGCAGTCTCTCAAAGTTGCGACTGTGTTTGTGCGCCTGCTTATGTTTAAGATTGGATGCTTTTGCTACAGCGGGGTGTTCACACTCTCCCAGGAGACAGTAGCTGTGTTGATGAATGGTAAACTACTGTGGAGTTAGTACAGTGTAAGAAGTGAGAAGTAAAAGTTCATTTTGTATGAATTGAGAGGAATGTGTGGTGGGCTGCATTAATCATCTTGTTTCCTCATGCATTCTGTGCAGAGAGGCAAACTTACACTGATGAGGAATTTATCATGCAGTTTGGGTGAACACAGGTCTTTTCTCTCTTTCTCATTTTGCTATTGCTGTCTCCTTAGGTATTTTGCATGACTGTTGGGAACTCATTTTACAGCTCCAGTTGCTCTTCTACATGCTTCATCAAACATAATCTGCACTCAGAGGCACAATTTAAGCTAATAATAATCAGTGAGAGATGTATTTAAAATGTCAAAGGGGTCATTTCCTTTAATTTCGTATCAATTTCAAATTATTACATGACCTTAATACACATGCTTGAGCTCAAGAACACATATGTATTCCACTGTCTATCTTTGTTGTCTTTCTTGTTGTCTGTTAAGTCACACTTGTTTGTAATTTGTTTTTGTCACAGATCCCTCTGCTCACCAGAGGCAGAAGCCGCCTGCCACTGAACTCTGCTACAAGACTGAAATCAGCAGTCTAATGGACTTCAACTCCCCGGACGCTTCTCTGGACAAAGGTAGGACCTGTTGGACCACAGCTTAAATGTTAAAGATTTTCCTATAGTGCCAGTACCTGCAAATACACAATACATGAGAGCAATTGGAGCTAATTGTAGCCCCTCTGCATCAATCCCTCTCCCTCCTCAGCATTTGCTGCTTGCACCTGTTGTTGTAGCAATGGGCCTCCATCACACAGGATATTGCAGCTACACTAAGGAGGACTGTTGCTACCAATCCAGGTTACATCTGGCTGCTAATGAACCCAACGAGTCTTGGATTTAAAAAAAAAATCACAAACATTTTTACAACTAATCAGGCAAAAGCTGCTTCTTAATTTAGTCTGTGTGCACGTTAGCGGTGAACCAGGAACACAATTACTGACAACTGTTTGTTTGTGTTTATGTGCAATTTGTACTTTGGCAATTTGGCCACTTGTTGCATGCTTGGATGGACCAGCAGGGCAGAAATTATAACTCTCATTGCAGCACAGTTATAACACAGTGAGGTAATAATGGTCCTGGCTGAAGCTGTTCTACATAAACTGGGTTTGTAAGAAGAATGTAACAAGTCAATATGGTGTCAGCAATCTAAGTTTTATTCAGTTGGTTTAAGTGTTGGAAGTATTACATGACAGGGGTGATATACAGTAAAAACAGTTTTTCCCCCCACATAGCCTTCAATTTTGAATTTATTTTCCACTTCACAAAAGCATAAGTGACCCTTGATCATTATTGAACCACAACAGTGCAGCTGAGCTTTAAATATTTTGAGTTTCCTTTTTCTGTGGGCCCTCTGCAGTCTAGCCTTGAATAACCTTGTGTTTCTATTGTGAATTTTCAACAATAGCCTTGCTGAAGCAACGCACCTGTTAATTGCACCTTGTTATAGACATTATTGTGCACTTGACACTGAAACGGGAACCTGTTCCTATTTAAATCTGCTCATATTTTGATACCAAACTTCCAATTTGTTTTACTAATGACTGGTTATATCTTCCGTTCTTATTGAACTGTTGCTCAGAGGGATCTCTGTCTCTTTATGCCTTTTCACTTGTCAGTCTGGTTGAACCATTATACCGTGTTTTATTCTCCATGCACAAAACAAACCCTTCATATAAAATAACATTTGTAAAGAGGACTCTTTACAACATTTGAGAGTACACTACATAAGAATCTACCACAATACAATCCTATTAAACACAGGGGCAAGTCAAAGTTTTGAAGTTGTTTGAATGGTCAATTTAAACCCAAAGTATATCATTATAATTGGTGAGCTCTACTACAACCACATTATAATTTTACATACAGTACCTTTAGGCCTCTTGCACCACCTGTTTACATTTTATGGATTTGAAATTGATGTAAATTTATTAGAAAAAATGTTTTAATCCAGTGAGCTGACTCAGTAGTTGCCTTTGTCTGTACAGTGTGTCATGGCGTGCTGCTAGTCGAGACATTCTCTTGGTTCTTCTGAGGACAGTCTGAATGGTCATTGGTCAATATGGCTCCGTCAACAATCTACTATCAAGCTCTATATTCATCTGTGTTTACAATTCTGCCGTTAGTTCACAGCCACTTGCGTCACCATGACCTATCCCCTCAAAAAGCAGCCTGTAAACGTTAAAGCCTTTATTTATCACCAGACTCTTATCTAACTGGGTGGTCAGACGGTTCCCACATAGGCGTCATCAGCTCTCCACACAAACATAGTTACAGGCGTTTATCTGTCGTCTGTTTCCAGCCCTTTCAAGACAAAAGCTTTTTTCAAGGAGTTGCAGTCTTGTAGAGACGATCAAAGTGGCTAACGATGGCACCAGTACAAACGCATCTCTTCAATTGTGGATCCTGTATGACTGCCAGCTCCAGTATAGATCTCTAGTGTCACCCAAGGAGCCCCCAGGGGCCCTTTCCTCATTAGAGTGTCCTGCTTAGGGGTCTATTTGGCTGCCAGTTCTCTCTTCTCTCCTATTAGCGTCTGTCGATGTCGTGATGATACTGAAACAGCTCCCAAGTCATTGTTCAAAGAAGAGGGAACAGTGTGTGTTAGTTATATGACACTGCTGCAGATCAGTGCCTCATATGTATTGTATTTAGGAACAACTTTGAGATACTTGTATTCTACTTGAGTTTTTTCATTTCATGATCATCCATACACAACATATCTGGGGGAAATATTGAACTCTTAACTACATTTATCTGACAGCTAAGGTTGCTTTCAGTTGAAGATTTTACACATCAAACATATATACATTTATAAACTTTGCGTTGTTATAGATTAAACTGTTCACTTGTTAAAATGTCATGACAATGAATCAGTAATATTACAATAATATATATGAAAACACTCTGAATGGGGCCATTTTGCATTGGTTTTGGATATTACTGGTACATTTTTCTGCAAATACTTTACAAGTACTATTAAAACAGACCAATTATGCTCATTTTCAGGTCCATACTTGTATTTTTGGGTGTCTACTAGAACATGTTTACATGCTTTAAAGCTCAAAACTCACATTTTTTCCCTCATACTGTTTGTGCTTGAACACCTGTATACACCTGTGGTCTGAAACACTTTGTTTTAGCTCCTGTCTCTTTAAGTCCTTCTCCCAAAAAACCCAAGTCTGTTCTGATTGGTCACCGTGTTCAGGTCTTCCATGTCTTTGCGTCTCTGTAACAGAGAATAGTGACACTTTCTACCATGAAAAATCAACAATAAAAGCTTCTAAACTCAACCAGACCTGTTCCAGCAGGAATATGATCCAAAATCAAGGAGAATTTCAAAACATCGGGAACCAAGATTACAAGTTTCTCTCACATTACCATGTAGCTACATGTAGCAGTATAGGCTATGTAATGTAAACACTTGGAGTAATGTGCCTGGAGCAGATGACCATAGGCTGACCAAACATCCTCTTTTGCCCGGGCATGTCCACTTTTGACGTCCTGTCCGGGGCGTCCGTTTATAAATTGATGATAATGTCCGGTGTGTGTGTGTGTGGCACGGGACGCATATTTCTGTCCGAACCCGACAGTCATTCTGTTTTGTTATGTCAGAAACCGAACCGAGCCCGACATTATTTAATGACTAAAGCACTGAGTTTGTGTCACACAGTTGTTACAGTTACAGGCTATTTAACAGGCCGGGCGTGCGCTGTGGGTGCTCCGCGGAGAGGGAGACCTCCGTGTTTGAGATGGGAGCGGGCAGCGGGAGGTCCAAGGCTTCCAGCGAGGGGAGAGGGAGAAATAAAACAAAATAAGATAAAAAAAACCTGTCTCCCTCTTTTATTTTATTTTCAGCATTTAATCAAGGTGGAGGCGGGTGGCTGGAGGTCCGAGACTTCCAGAGAGGAGAGAGGTAGAAACAAACAGCCAATGTGTGTCTGTGTGTGTTATGTTCAGGTGTTGTCACGTAAATAACAGTGCCCAAGCAATAAACAGGACAGACAATAGGATTTTATTTATTTTTACACTACATTTTCACTGAAAGCTGACCGAATCCAACCCGAGCCCGAATACAATTTAAACATAAGCTGACCGAACCCGGCCCAACCCGTCGGGTAGGCCTACTGTCGGGACCCGTCGGGCTCGGATCGGGTAGCGACACTCTAGCGTGTGTGTTTGTGTGTGTGTGTGTCCCCTATCTATCGGGGCCTATCTGAATTTCTGTCTTTGAGAGATGTTATTTTGTAATATAACTGAATATTCTATCCATACATATAAACTTTAAACATATTAAAATTATAAGGCATCTTTGAGAAAACTGCGAGTATCATTTAAGTAGGCTATCTCATGGCCGGGCCGAGTGTCCTCTTTTTTGGAAATCAAAATATGGTCACCCTAGATGACCATATAAAGAAATCTGTCACAATCTGATGTCAGCATGTAGCCCAAGTAGAAAAAAAACATTTGTAACAGAGTATTCAGACCGATCTGAGACGGAGGTTTCAGCTCTCAGGGATTACTTTTACTCACGTTTAACTCTTTATTTAAAACTTCGGACACATTTAATATGAACAGCTGACATTGTCACAGTATATCTAGGACAGTTCCTTTAAGCATATACTGTTGAATTTCACATCTTTTGCACTGGCATGTTTTTTTCCCTTTCATTGTGGTATTACTATATTAACTTAAGTAAAAGACCTTTCACTGCTGATCTGGGGTCAGCTTTTTGTGTTCAGTGGATGAAACTGCAAAATATGCTGAAAGATTTTTTAGATTTTGGGAGTCATTTGGAAGTCAAGAGAGCAGACACTGCACTCGAGGTGAGGTTATGCACACATTCTTTAATTAACATGTTGGTATTTGCGCGCGCGCACACACACACACACACACACTCTCCTTCAGCACAAACCAGCTGCTGCATTAGGTCTGTGGTTGTTTCCTGGGTGCTGCAATTGTGCAGACTCAGGGAAAACACATACACACGCACCGACAACCCCTGCAGTGGCCAAGGCCACATACATCACCGCAAGTTTCATCCCAATGAGAACAGAGAAGTGAGGGGCTGTGTTATCAGCAGATTCATCTCAGGTCTGCAGTAAGAGCGAGACAGAGAGACAGGGAAGGAGAGGGGAAACAAACGTAAGCAGTGAGCACTGTATCATTATGGAGACAGGTGCTGCTTCTGCACATTAACTGGCAATGATGTCACTAGCTGGGTGAAGCCTGGCATGTGGGCTGGTTTAAATAGGAAGGTCAGCGCAAAGAAGTCAAGCAGGGCATCCAGAAAAAATAGGCTTAGGAGGGAAGAGGAGACAGGGAAGGAGAGAGAAAAATCAGGGGGAAAAAAGGTGAAGAGCACCAGGAGGAGGAGGAGGAGGAGGAAGAGGTGAGAGATTGCCTGAGGACATTGTGTTGCTTGCAAATGTATTCTGATTAACGAGAGAAAATCATACAGGGAAAGGGGGAGGGGAGGGAGAGACGGACATGAACAAAAGAACAATAAAATAAGGGAGAATGTGAAGGTGTGGGTGTGGGTGTGGGTGCATGTGTGGAGTGGTCTCTGCTGAGCACTT